CACAATCGCCAAAAGGAAGATACAACCCAAACATACACCAGCAGAAAAATAGATAAGTAAATAGATAAATTTCATGTATTTAGATACATTTAGGTACAATGGCATGTGACTCAGCCAAAAAGAGAAATGAAGCTCTGGTAAATGAAATACATCAGTCACAAAAAAACAAATATTGTATAATCCCATTTACATGAAACTCAAAAATAGCTGAATGCATTACATGTAACTGGGCAGCTAGCTGGGACGGGTAATGGAGGAAATATAGCTTCAGCAATACTAAGTTTCTGTTGTTCTGTTGTTATTGTTAGTGTGGTGTACCATTGATACTGTTTCTGTTGTTCTGTTGTTATTGTTAGTGTGGTGTACCATTGATACTGTTTCTGTTGTTATTGTTAGTGTGGTGTACCATTGATACTAAGTTTCTGTTGTTCTGTTGTTATTGTTAGTGTGGTGTACCACTGATACTAAGTTTCTGTTGTTATTGTTAGTGTGCTGTACCACTGATTCCAATTCCTGTAGCGCCTATAGGAGAATAGAGCTGCCCTGAAAACTACAGGCTATAATTTTCATTAGGGCAGATAACCAGATCTTTTCTACCATTGAAATGCTACTGGGTTTGGACTATCATCACCTTTGAAGTAATAGTGAGGCACTTACCTAATATTCCACCAAAGTTCCTTGAGTTTCTGTTAAGAGTATTGAAAACTTTAGATATGGAATCAGAAGAATGGAAACAGATTTGGTGGTTTTGTTTTTGTTTGGGGGGCAGGTTGTCATAGGACTGTTATAAGAGCCAAATTCTTTTCTGACTTTATTTTGAAAATTGTAAAGCACTGAAAAGATTTTTTTTTAAAAACTTGATGATAAGCATGAATTCACTGGAACCTGTATTTCCCAGGTTAGTTAATATTTTTTAAAGTGATCAGAAAGAAGAGTGTGTGATATATATGGTAAGCATCATATCACTATGTAAATAGTTATATTAGTTATAGTCAATAAAAGTAAATAAAAACTGAGAAAATGACTCATAAAATAACTTTGAGAAAATAATCCTGATCATTTTCACCTAAAATGCTAGAGAATATTTTAAATATTTAAAAGAAAAAAAAAGTTGGGTACTGAGGAAAGAAAAAGGAATAACTAACAGCCCAACACCTCCCACAACAGCAAAGAATTTATACAAACGTCAACAGCACACTCTACTGGCCTCAAGTTGCTTCTACACAGCAACTAAAAGCAATGAATTACTATAACTCTACTGTACAAAATCAAATATAAGTACTCTGATAAAAGTATATAGAGAATGTTAGTATTTAATGAAATAAAGAAAAAAGAAAAAGCCTAGCAATGTGAAATTATCTTTCTCATTGTACTAAAGGAAAGAAAGGAAATATAAATTCTCAAAATAATTAATGAACAATGGAACAAAGCAATACTAGAATGACTACTAAAAACAAAATGTTGTGTCAGCTATAATTTCGTTGAGACTATGTGGAGATGCTTGCCTCACTAGATGTTCTACATTATGAATTCTTGTTCTACACATTAAGTATTAGAAATGAAACTAAAATCTAAGAAAAAGGAACAAGCAGTAGGTGCTGGAAAGTACTTTATAATTAAAAGGGTGACTGATATTTTCTGACTTGAAATAGTGAAGAGACTAGAAACGATAGGAACACAAAGAGACAACTACCCAGTTCTCCAATCCAATCAGTTACATCAGAAACTAAATTCTTTTATTAAAATTTGAAAGAAAACACTACAAAATTTAACATCACATTCACAAAATTGTCAAAGTAATTTTTCATATAACTTCTAAAGGAAAATATGTTTAAAAAAAATACAACTAAAAGTATGAAGACTACAAGCATAAAGTTTGTACCTTTGTAAATATAGAATAAATCCATTAATTCATAAATTCAACTACCTACTCTCCTAAAATATAAACAATGTACACCTTAAATATCTACTAAGAACCAACATGAGTAGTGTCTCCTGAGAATTTCGAACAGCTAGAGCAGAATAGTTCTTATTAACTGGTACTATTAAATCTAGTACCACCCTCTTGCTCCTCTCATATGTGAAGAAGCAGATTCTAAGGGGGGAAAAAATTAAATTGTTACTTACCTAAGTCCTTCAATTTATCTTACTTAAGGTCTTTACATAACAAATGTGCTTGACACAATGGATGCATGTATGGATTACGATAAGGGTTGTACAAGCCCCCAATAAAATGATTAAAAAAAAAAGATCTTTACATAATCTAGATTAAACTATAATGCATATAATGAGGTATCTGATCTGTCAACATAAGCTCTGAAATATGGGTTATCTTTTTTTAATTACTTATCTAAAAGTCTTGGTAATAAACTAATTTCAGAAGCTGCTACACAATAAATTTAAACCTTCTGAACTTATTATGGATGAGACTATGTGATATTTTTCTACTTCTTTACAAATTTACCTATTCTCCAATCTACAAAAAATACTTACATGTAATTTATAATAAACCTTTGCAAAGACTAAGTAGTATTATGCCAGAAACCAAAGTAAGTTCCTAGGATGATAAAAATAAAGGACACTTTACAATACCCAAGGACCCCCTTTTTCTACTCACATCTCCGTATTCTTCCTTATATTCATGAGGATGATTATCCTGGTCCTCTGAAAATCTAGATGAATTATTTAATGCTAATGATCCATAAGACTTGCTAAATATTTCACCATAACTTTTAAAAACTATGACAGCCAAAATATTTACTAAATTACAAAAGATAAAAATACTTTCATTCCTTACACTTAAATATTCTGTAATAATCATTTCTATTGTGATGACTTTTTCTATTTTTCTGTTAACAGGGGGAAAAAACTAATTAAAAATATAAAGTATTTTATCTAAGTATTTGTGGGGGATTTTCCCCTAATCATTCACAAAATACATAAAAGTACATTACATGCTGTATTTAATACACACTAACTAAAAAGAACAAGTAGCAGGGCTCCACGAGATGGTCTTTCTGTCATTGTAAAAGTGCTTTGATATCTGATAAATCTACTTTATTAATGTTTAATTTCTGTGGTATTTATCACTTGTCTTTTTCCAAACAAAAAGTCCTGTGTCACATTAGTAAAACATTATCATTTGAGATATTAGATTTCATTGGAAGATTTAACTTGTTCAGTGAAACTCCAAAAATGGAGAAACTGCCAGAAACCCATACCTTTAACATTATGAGTAATAATGAACCACTTATGAAAAAAATATTTCATTTCTAAATAATTATAAAATTATACCACCTTAGGTCAAGGATAAAGACACAGTTTCTGGTGTAAAACTAAAACTGACATCAAGATACTTTACCAATGAGAAGACCAAAAACCAACATACTATAAAACATCTTATATAACAAAAAGGAAAATGTATCCCAGAGCTTCCCCTGTGGGATCCTAGGGGAAAATCACCCTAACCCTCTCAGCTGACCTCTCTGCCTGGGACTAAACGGACCCAGCAGATTCCTGGGAAGTCAGTTTTGCTTGAATACTTTTTTTTTCAAAGCACCTTCATAAAATTCCCACGGACCTGGAGTCAATTCCAACTCAGAGACAAGTGTACTACTGAGAGAACGTGTCTGCAGCCATCCACTGATCACAGAGACTTGCTTAAACACTTTCTGGTTGAAATAAACCCATTCTGGCTTGAGCTGGAACCCCAGTAGAAAGACTTCCTAGTTGTAAGGATCCCTCCGGTGGTACAATGTACAATGCTTATGCTAACTGAAAGATCAGTGGTTTGAACCCACCAGCCACTCTGCAGGAGAAAAGACCTGACAATCTGTTCCAAGAAAGATATGTAAATTAGGAACCCTCTGGGCAAGTTCTACCCAGTACCACAGGGTCATTACAAGTTGCAATCAATTAGATGGTACATGACAGAATTCCATTTATATAAGATCCTGGAAATCTAAGTGAATCTATATTGGCTGACAAATCTAGATTGGAGACAAGCAATGGGGGACAGGGAGTTTCATTTGTCTAGAATGGATCTTTTCCATACATAATTTTATATATCACACATTGGTCATTCTAAAAATACTTTGTTCAATGAGTTTTGCAAATCTTGCAAACATTGACATATTATGCAACATGAAAATGTCAAATTCACTTCCAATCTCATCAGAAAACTGCCAAGCTCACAATAATGTAGACAAGTTTTTAAAAATCCTGATTTTTACTTGAAAGTTCAAATTCAATCAGGCTCACTGTTTTCATTTTTAAGAATTTCCACACATACTTTTTCCACTGAAATATCAAGTAAAAATAAAGTTCTATGAGATAGTGCCTAATTCAGGTTATAACTCAACATTCTACAAGTGCTTTTCACCAAGGCAATCATTCTACCTGCATGCAAAAATGCTTTATGAGTACATCTCAAATCTTCAGACAGTGTTAAAAACCACAGGGACTGAAATTTAACCAAATCAGCAATATATATTGATACATCAAGCACATTCTTAAGTGAAAGTGGCTTTTTTTTTTTTAACTGTGAATTAATAGAAAACAATGACTACTTAGATTAGTGCTAAGGTACCAGAAGGTATACCCATCATTGCTCTTGCACCATTAGCACAAATGTCAAGACGGTAAAAAAGACAAATAACATCTTAATGCTATTATGAAGATACAGTTGTGACCTCACAGATCCCCTGGGGAAACATCTCAGGAACCAATAGAGATTCCTGGACCACTGCTTGCGGGTGTCTAACTCAAAGGAAACAGAAAGGACTGCAGGGACGTAGAGTTTACAAACATTAGAATTTAGGGCAGGGTAATAATTTCTAATTTTCTCATTTTATAAATGAGGACACAGGCCCAGAGAGGACAGGAGATTTTACCATCTCACATTATCAGAAGCAAAGAGTGTAATATACTTTCCTTCCTTGTTTTTCACAAATGAATTTAGCAAAATCAGCTTTCTTTCAGCTGGACAAACATACACGTACTGTTTGTGGGGGAAAGAAGTTCATATTTCTTGATGGAGAGTTGAGTTTTGCAGTCTTTCCTGAAGCAACTTTTGCATCCAAATGGTGTACTTCTTTTTCAGAACAATGACGTTTTCTAATCTGTAAACACAAAACCAATATTAAGTTTAATATAGGCTAAAAGAGTCTGAGTAGGCTAGTCCTCAAAAGTCAAAATAACTCAAGTGAAAGTTTTCAGCATAAATTTCCTTCTAAATGACTAATTGACAATAATCAAATACATTTTCAAAAAACAAATGCACATCTTATTATAACACTTAACCAAAATACAGAAAATAGTAACACTTTTAAAATTACCACCAAAATAGCTTATATCAAAACTATAGTATTGTAGGCAGAAAAAAAAATAGTTTGTAAAATAATCTTCACACACAAAAAAGGCCACCACATGGATTATAGCAAAGTTTAATTGCATATTTAACTTGAAAATAAAGTATAGCTAATCAAAATTTAAAGCCTTGTTTTACATTAAAAATTACTAAACAAATGCTTTAAATACAGATATTCATGATTCCCTGCATGACAGAATAAACTGCTTGATGACCATTGCTTACTAGATACCTGACTTCTATTATAAAAGCATTAAACTTTCTTTCCAAGCTATCTCGATGCATGCCAAAACCTGTTTATTTAAGTTATAAGGAAGTAGTGGGGAAGCACTTGTAATGATAATACCATCCCTACTAGAAATGAGAGCCAAAAAAGTCAGAGAATACGAGTCTTATATTATATTGGGCCCTAGCTCATAAGATCCTACTTTATATACACATTTGGAGGGGCTTGGACAGGAGAAATCTCCATAGATTCACATTTCATTAGGAATTGTTTTTGGTTTTCTACACCTACTCCTCACTTACTAACAATCTCATTATCTGACATTTCACATTTACAACAGTAGTAATTTTGTACACTAACAACACACATGTGGCAGTAATGAACACCGAAGTCCCTGATGGAGTCCCTGATCAGCAGTTCCCATGTGCATACAAAAAGGAAGCTCATATTGCATAGCATGTAGTTGCCTGGGAGGGGCAAGGGGATGCAGTCTCCCTGAGCAGCCAAGTTGCAAGGAAAATGGACAGGGCCCTGGAGTGGAGCCTGGAATGGGACACTGCCTAAGGAGTCCTGAGTGCTCGCAGAGGCTGACTCCAGGGCAACAGCAGCTGGTATCCTGAAGGGGGATAGTTCTTAGGACCAAGGAAGAGGGACTCAAGTCGGGCCCCAGCTCCCAGTCCAAAAGGTGCCCTGAGACAGGACTGTGGAACCTCTTATCAGCTGACCAACACCTGGTCAGGCCCTGGTACCTCCTCGATGTCCACTCCTGGTTGGACACAGATGAGAGCAGTGCAGGCTACCTGGGCAGCTTAAGTAGCCAGCAGCAGCTGCAGCTTAAGGTCAAGAGCAGAGACCTGGTATAGCCAACACAGTCAGGGGAATGAAAGCTTGGTGGGACAAAGCCATCCAATAAGAGCCAGGGGATGCTCATGAACGGGACTGGTGGGGGCACACAGCAGGTAGTGTGCAACCCCCTAGTGTGGCACCCAGGTCTTCCCACGCACAGTGAGGGTAGGAGAGGGAAAGGCCCTGGGGTTAAGGAGGAGCAGTGCTTGGGTTATTCTGGACCTGGATGACTGGACAGCCCTCCCATATGGGTAGCAGTAAGGGGTGAGTTCCCCTGCGGTAACAAAGGGATGCAGGTGACCTAAGCAGGATCCCAGACAGGACGTTCAAGTTCAAATGAGGAAGTGAGGTAATGTGGTCATCGTCCAAATTGCATAAAGCCAATTTTCATGTAAGGGCTTTGAAATATAGCTAATCATATCAATAGGTGAGAAGTGGATGTATCTAGTAAATTTGACATTTTAATAATGTTTAGAAATATATATATCATCTACTGATACAATAAATAAGAGTAAACTGTCAATAAACTAAAAATATCATAACAGGGGGGCGCGGGGAAGGAGGGGTAAAAATGAGGACCTGATGCCGGGGGCTTACGTGGAGAGCAAATGTTTTGAGGATTATGAGGGCAATGAATGTACAAATGCACTTTACACAATTGCTGTATGTATGGATTGTGATAAGAGTTGTATGAGCCCCTAATAAAACGATTAAAAAATATATATAACATGAATATTCATACCAAAGACATTTTGGTCAATAGAAAATGCAATTATTATATTAAAACAATAGAGGAATTGAAAACTATGTATACTACCAATATATGTGAAAGTTTCAAATGGTTTGTAGAAAAAATTCTGTCATCTTTTGATTCCATTTTCCAATGAATTTTTTGAAGCCCCCTTCCATGAGTTTTGCTTTATGTAAATATTTCACTGTCAAATTTATAATAAGCACTGTATATAAGCATCATGCATTATCATTTTAATGGCAAGTTCTTATGAATATTCTCCTGAAATAACAAACTCCTTTATAACAGGTTTTAAACATTTTGTAACATTGTTACAAAATGAAGTTGTAACAAATTATAATTTAATTAAGGCTGTGACCCAATTCATCTCCACAGGTGCCACTGAAACTTGATTAATTCTTGATTACTTTGTTTAGCTATAACTAACTGGATTATTTCAATGGCAATTCACAGTTTACCTGCTGTGTAGTTTCTAACAGACGAAGTCTTTTCTTGTCTACTTGAAAATCGTCATTTTCATCTCTGTTAACAGATGCCTGTTTCTTGGCAGATAATTTTGCAGCCAGTGTGTTTTTTTCAGGAGAGTCTTATAAAAGAAGTAATAAAAATTAGCATAAATAACTTAGGCAGTTTTTCTAGAAAAGTGAATCTAAAATATGTAACATAGTTCTAAAATATCATATGATGGTTCAAAACATGAAATTTAGCAGCACTTCCTTAACGCTCAGTTTAACAAAGATGTAGACAGCAATTTGAGCTATAGCTTTAAATAGGAAAAGCCCTATTTTGATTTTTAAAAAGGTTTTGATGCTTTTCTACACATACCAATACCAATACACAACTTAACTGACTATAACTCAACTCCTATAATTAGTTTACTAATCCCACAATCCTGCAGGTTAATTATCAAGGTCATCAACCCTAGATTTTTTAAAAAGTCAAGTAGCTTGCCCTATATGATAAGTTAGCAAATGGTTCCACCAGAATTTGACTGACTCCTACAATCCAACTCCAAAGTCCAACAGTATACACTCTAAGCGCACAGGCAAACATAGCATGCTGTGTTCAAATAGATTTCCTTTGTCCATTACCACTGTTCTTAATTGTCCTACACGCCAGCGTCTCCCTTTCTCTAAAAAGGCACCGCCCTTTTTCTCTGCTCTTGTCTGTTTTCTCTACTCCCATAGCTTGACTTAGTTTTAACAAACATTTATCATAATGTGCCCACACAATGGCCAAGACACCATGGGAAAACAATAAAAAAGAAACACCCCATGATTGACAAAAGAATAAGGAGAAAGACCTGAAAACATGTACCATACTATTTTCAAAAATAACAAATTTGGGTTTGCACAAACAGAAAATGAATCTACGCCATAAAGCATTGACTTCAAAACTTCTAACAGGGAGGGCTTTTTGAAAAAAAATTAAATATTGCTTAAAATTCCCAAAATAGGGATAAAGAACGAAAAATTTCCATTTCACTGTCTCTCCCTTCTATAAGTCATGTTCCTTCCTCTGACTCCAAAGAACAGATAATCTGAAAATCTCTACATCCAACACACTGCCATTGAACCAAGTCCAACTCTTACTGACCCTCCAGGACCCAGTAGAACTGTTCCCTGAGATTTTCAAGGCTGTAATCCGTCCTGGAAGGAGACGGCCTCACTTTCCTGAGTAGCTTTGAGGCACTGACTTTTCGGTTGGCAGTCCAACACTTAACTTATTGTGCCACCAGAGCTCCTTAAAAACCACTATACTCTCCTATAATACCTATAAAGTCTTAATAGCTTTACCTTTCATTACTAGGTCTTTAATATACCTGGAGTATATTTTGGTGCATGGTGTAAAGTTGGGCTATAATTTCCATTTTTTCCATATGAATATCTAGTAGTCCCAGCATTGTTTATGGAAAAACTCTTATCTTTATGTTTTGTATTAGAACTTCTATTTTAAAAATCAAGATCTGTCTCTATGTGGAACTGAATTTGGATTTGCTATTCTATTCCACTGATCTATCACTGTGTTAATGTCAAACCCTGTGGCACTGCCAACAGGTCAAGTCCGACTCATAGCAACACTAGATAGGGTTTCTGAAGCTGTAAATCTTTACAGAAGCAGATAGTCTTTTCTTTCCCATGTAGAGGAGCAGGTGGGTTTGAACCACCAACCTACAATTAGTAGTACAACACAGACCCAACAATATCACTACATAGTCTTAATTACTGTAGTTTCATACATAGTAAATCAAGATATTTGACAGACCAAGTCCTCTTACCTTGGCCCATTTCTTTAAAAATGTCTTGACTGAGGGGAATAGAGGAAAGAGCTGGGAGGCAAAGGGCATTTATAGAGGTCTAGATAAAGACATGTACATAGGCAAATATATTTATATAGGAGGATGGGGAAATAGACCTATGTGCCTATATTTATAGGTTTAGTATTAAGGTAGCAGAAGGACATTGGGCCTCTGCTCAAGTACTCCCTCAATACAAGAATA